CGGGTCTTTGGCTGTATATGTTTCATACATGTGAAGGATCCAAAAAAGACCAACCTGGATCCTAAGGCTACGAAGGGAATATTTTTGGGGTACTCTCCTACACAAAAGGGGTACAAGTGTTATGATCCTGTCTCCAAGAGAAAGTATGTCACCACAGATGTGGTCTTTTTTTAGTCTCAACCCTATTTTCAGTCTTCTCAGAATCCTCTTCAAAGGGAGACTAGTGGGATGGAAGAGGATTCTCATTCTCCCTCCTTTTTTGTTCCCCTATCTACCTCGGGCCTTCCATCCTCTTCTTCTACTCCTAGTTGTGGCATCCCGRGTCAACCTAGTGAGGCTCCCACTGTGCCGGTTACCTCTCCTGATGCTGCAGATGTCCCTAAAGGCTCCAGTAGGCAACAGAAAGAGATACTCACATACAACAGAAGGAAAAAGGGCCCTCAACCTCATGACAGCAACCAGTTGGACTCGGATCAATCTGTCTCTGCAATCCAAGGTAATTCCAACTCACATACTTCTGATTTGGATCTTCCTATTGCTCTCTATAAGCCTATCTGTTCTTGTACCACCCTGCACCCCATTGCTGATTTTGTTTCTTACTCACATTTATCTCCTGCCTATCACTCCTTTGTGTCTGCTCTTTCCTCTTTATGTGTTCCTTCTAGGTACTCAGAGGCCGTGTCTGATCCAAGGTGGAAAGAAGCTATGAATGAAGAGATGAAAGCAAGAACTTGGGAATTAGTGGATCTACCAGAGGGGAAGAGCACTGTTGGGTGCAAGTGGGTGTTTACTGTAAAGCACAGGGAGGACGGGTCCATTGAAAGGTACAAGGCCAGACTTGTGGCAAAGGGGTTTACTCAAAAAGAAGGAATTAACTACAAAGAAACCTTTGCCCCAGTAGCAAGGCTCAACACAATTCGGGTTTTATTGTCACTAGCAGCAAATTTTTCATGGGAACTTCATCAGCTGGATGTGAAGAATGTCTTCCTAAATGGTGACCTTCATGAAGAGATATTTATGGAACCTCCACCAGGCTATGACTTTGGTAGAAAGGTGTGTAAACTGAGGAAAGCATTATATGGTTTGAAGCAGTCTCCTTGTGCATGGTTTGAGAGGCTTTGTGGGGCTATGAAGAAAGTGGGGTACACTCAGAGCGGTGCAGACCGTACCTTGTTCATAAGGAGACAGGATAGCAAACTTATGGCACTCATTGTTTATGTGGATGATATGGTGATTATCGGGAATGACTTGAAAGAGATAAAAAGATTGAAGGAGTTTTTAGCTTCGGAATTTGAGATCAAAGACTTGGGCCATTTGAGATATTTTCTTGGGATTGAAGTTGCTAGGTCAAGAGAAGGAATCTACATATGTTAGYGGAAGTATRTTCTTGACCTCCTAGAGGAAACAGGCATGWTAGGGTGTAGGCCAGCAGATACTCCAATAGAACAGAATCATGGCCTACAGGAATCAGTAGGGGAGGACTACTGTGATAGAGAGAGATACCAAAAATTGGTAGGGAAGCTGATATA